TTATGGCAATAATAGCACTATATTATGTATATCAACTGGTCTTAATAGCCTGAATATGAAATTTGAAGGCTACAAGATAATTAATTTTTGAGTTTCTGTTCACATTTAAGATATCTAATGATAAACAGTAGTTTGTAACTTGTCAATATATTTCTTCTTTACCTTTTCACATTGATTATAAAAGAAATGGTAGTATTTTAGTTTGACAATATACTATAGGTGTCATTGTTTTGGAAGACTAGTACACATATTATAAAGTTGCAGTGAGCTTTATTATGGTATTCACATGTTTGTTTCTGCTTATTTCAGTGGAGATGTTCAGAGACCACAACCAGGCAGCAGGTATGTCAAACCTGTACTTGGCATCAAGAAATACCTTGCCCAGAAGTATTCTGCCTTTGTTGAAGGATATGAACGAATTCTACAGAAAAATTTTCCTTCTGCTTTCAGGATATATCAAATATTTTCTATTGGTTTGTATTCCAAACATGTCACTTTGATTTTCATTGCTAGCACATGTTTGCCAGTAATTTAAACGGGATAACATATACATCACAGTAAATGATGTGTGTGTTTACATATCAAATATTTAAGAATTTCTTTAAAACAAAACTATTAAATTTACATAAGTGAATAAGTATATTACAAACTGTTGTTTGTGACAGGTGACTAACTGGTATGTAATTCTAGGACTAAAGATTGAATTTTTAAAGCATTAATGTCAACATTTTTTTAATTAATAGGTTACATCTTAAAACATTATCATGGTAAACTTTTCTTTCAAACAGAAGTATTGTTTGTACATTTGCAACTGCTGAGTAAGCATTGTAGTATCTTCCAAAAACATGGAATACAATATTTTAGTTTTTAAAAAATCAGTTAAGTAGAATATTTGTATGAAACACATTTGGAGAAAAAAACTAATGGAATTAATGTATATCACCTTAAGAACATGGCTAAATTAAATTATGGATTGCTTATAACCATTAAGACATTGGGTATGTTTCAATCTATAGAGAATGATCAATATATATTTTTATATAGAACATTTAAATCTAACTAGATACCAAAATTTAGTCATCAAAATTGTTTTTTTGAGCTTTATACATGTCTTACTTGGAGTTTTGAAACACTTGCATATTCAGGTGGGTACCTAAGGTTAGAAGTGCCAGAACACTGGATATTGTGTTTTTCTTTATAAACTTTATTCAACTGAAATTGGCTTGAAACATTCAATAGTTGTTATTAATTAAAGAGTGAAATATAGATATTGTTTTATGATTTACAATCATATAAAAATATTACTGGGTCAGAGTTGATTTTGATGAATCTAAAGTAAGTTTCTGGTCTGAATTTAAAGTTCAGTATCTTTACACAATCTCAGAATCATCACCATTGACTCACGCTCCTTGTTTTGTTGTTAGGTACAAAAGACTTGTTAACAGATATGAAGGAATATCTCCGCATATCACATGAGCTTAGACATGGAAAGTCTGTACGTGACCTTACTAGGAAAGAATTGGAGACATATTTTCAGGTAAGTAATATAGATTGCAGTAGTAACTTAACACGTAAATTTAAGATAAATTGTGATTTATGAATAATGCCTTTTCAATTTCCAAAACTGAATGAATTTTTGTTTTATAAGTCCTGCATATTGAACTGACATTTTATATTTATCATATCTAGAACCATCTATAACTTCACGTTCACAACTACACCTAGAAAATATGTTACAAAAGAAATAACAACGAAGTTTCGTTTGAACAAACATAATAATTTTTAGCTAAATATTTGTGCTTAATAGGTAAACTGGGCTGAAAGCAATTCCTTGAAACATAATAATAAATTTTCTGTGTTTTGTGCAATGACTTGACTTAGTAATAACGTCTAGGGCAGTAACTTGTAGGTCTTCCCATATTTTTGTATACAACTTTTAAGACAGTCAACATCTATCTCTATCAATACTCCAGTGGTTATGTAACTGGTAAAGTATTATTGTTTTAGTCTTTATAAATATGGTGAAACATCACGTTTAACTGTGGGTGTTTATAAATATGGTGAAACATCACATTTAACTGTGGGTGTTTATAAATATGGTGAAACATCACGTTTAACTGTGGGTGTTTATAAATATGGTGAAACATCACATTTAACTGTAGGGTGTTTATAAATATGGTGAAACATCACGTTTAACTGTGGGTGTTTATAAATATGGTGAAACATCACGTTTAACTGTGAGTATGTATAAATATGGTGAAACATCACAGTTAACTGTGGGTGTTTATAAATATGGTGAAACATCACGTTTAACTGTGGGTATTTATAAATATGGTGAAACATCACAGTTAACTGTGGGTGTTTATAAATATGGTGAAACATCACGTTTAACTGTGGGTGTTTATAAATATGGTGAAACATCACGTTTAACTGTGGGTGTTTATAAATATGGTGAAACATCACGTTTAACTGTGGGTGTCTTATTTTACCACATTTCACTTAGATCTTTAATAATTTCAATCCACAGGTATTTTAAAATGGCATTTTAGATTTTTATTTTCTATGCTGCTAGTCAGTGTCCAGAAAACCTTTTATTCAGTCCCAAACAATGTTCTCTCTCATTTTTTCATGCTCACCAGTATCAAGGCAATGTGCAGATGTGCACTACCAATTTAGAGGCGGGGGGGGGGGGGGGTTTAGGACCATCGACCCTATTGAATCATTAGATCGATTCACAATGCTACCAGTTGGTTATTTGGGCTTTAGGTCTATCTACTGCCAAGGTCATTAAGGTCATCAACGTGTCTCACCATTACTGAGGATGTGCATGGTTGGAATAATGAAGTGTGAGGCACATGATTGGTTATTGTGTGGCCCCGCATCTTAAAGGGAACACTGGTTCCAAAGCTCATAAATTAAGCTTTAAGGGGTTTTTGCACTTCACCAGATTAAATGCTTTACTCAATAAATTGAAATATTTTCTTGTAAAGTCTGAGGATTTTATATTGATGCAAAAAGAGTAAACTGATTTTCAACATTTTCAAAAGTCACGGTAAAGTGCACATTTTAAAGTACAGTACTACATTTTACAGTAGATTCTTTTATCATTATCAAAACTATAATAATTCACTGTCAGAAAGGCTAAATCTTATTGCAATTGTAAACAAATCTCAACTTTTAAGTTCCAAATATACATATTCTTCAGAAGCATAAAACACCATTCTTCTAATATTTTTCCATCTGTGGAATATAATCACATTATAATACAACTGTCCTTAGGCATGCATGATACATTATTTTTAAGGTAAAATTGTTTATGTGAGTGTTTACTCATTACTAAAGTTACTTAGAAGTTACAACATATGGTTGAAGAGCTTCTAATGCATTTATCCTTGTGGCAATTTCTGTAAATTTGATCTCAATATCAACCTTGCTACAAAAAATTAAAACATTTGTAGCAGAGAAATGAAATTGAAAAAGTTATGCAATAGGTAGTTATCACTAGGTTTCAGATTTAAAATAATGTTTTTTATTTCTTTTTTTTGGGGGGGGTAGCTTTGTGTTTTATTTTAAGTCATTTGAATATGTTATTAGTCATTTTAAAGTATCCTCAACCTTTAAATTCAATATGAGTCTTCTACTTCATATTTCAAGTTTTATTCCTTGAGGGGGGGGGCTGAAGTGTCTACTGAAAGATGTAAATATTTCAAATATTTGAATCAAATTTTCTCCAGGTGACTGATAATAGCTAAAACTTATTACATTTCCTGAATAATACATTTAGTAATTGTCTGTAAAAAAATGGGTTGGCAATATTATTTTGTTTTGGAAGTTATAAGAGTAAATATAAACTGAAACGTAAGTTTGGAAATATGTTTTGAATCATGCTAAAAATACACTTAAAAATATTTGAAATACTAACAGTGTTTTTATTCTTCAAATATAATTTCAGGGCATACATAAGTTTTATAGCATATTAGTTTAGTACGCAAAATAAGATTGGCTTAATTGTTTAGGGACAAATAATTTTAATAGTATCAAAGTTAACATAATTTTATTATCTTTATATGTGTGTGTATATTATTCTGTTGTTAATGTGTTGGTATTCAAGAAGTTATTTTCACTTCCTAGACTCCCAAAGACATGAAGAAAGTGGCTCCCATATTGGTCATAGCTGCTTTACCTTTTACTAATTACATTGTATTCCCTCTTGTGTAAGTATGGCATACTTTAGATTTGCATGTGGCTGTAACTTGCATTAAGTCTGTATTTCAAACACTTGAATTTTGGTAATACTGAAATTATTGTATAAATTGAATATTATTATTTTTCTCTGTACACTTTGTCTAATATTTGTTTCACTCATTTATGCCCTATCAAACTTTTCGCTTTAAATTATTTGCTCTCAAGTACTTCTTTTGTTTTTTTAGTTATGTGTTATTATGAATTTCTGTTTATCATTTTAATCTGTTTATCTGTAACACTAGTTACATTTTACTGGTTTATTTTCCTTGTCCATTATTACCTACATATGATAACAAGCTGGAAAAAGACTTCTGACAAATATATATGTATATATTGGGTTTTGCTTTTCAGCCAAATAATTAGTTAAAGACTTAAAGATATTTATCAACTTTTTGTACCACTTACAGTTACATTCGTGTGAAATAATTAGGAAATTCAAATATTAATTAAAAAATTTCAAGTCATATTAAAGAGAACCTATGAAATTCCAATAAGATGTAAAATAATTCAAGAACCACAATGAGAAAAAAAAAGTTGGTTCTATTTGTGATTTTAGCTGCTTAACATTTAAATTTTTAGACTGCTTTAGTGTTAAGAAATAATATTGAGACAGATTTCTTTAACTGTAATCAATGTGCTTGTAGAAGTGCTGAATAATAATAATACTGTTTCCTAAAAAAGTCAGACAAAGTATGTGACTCTTAAAGTTACCCAGTATGAAATCTACTGCTTTACAAGCAGTATGAGAATGAATTATTAACAGTCTACCATCCAGGATTATTAAATTATTGAATTTATATTTAAGGATCTGGTTTCCACATTACGTGCTTTCAACACACTTCTGGACTATCCAACAAAGAGTTGATTTTGCCCTTCGTCGTCATAGGAAGAAACTTTATAATTACAGACCAGTGTTTCGTCAGTTACAGTCTAAGGTTTTGACTGTATCAGATGATAATCTGAAAAATAGATGTGAAGCCATACTGTCTCAAGTACGTTACATATGTTATTGTAGATTTGATGCTGAGTCCTAAGAAGGTAAAATTAACACATTTTAAAGCTCATCAGTTAATTAGGTTTAGTGTATAAAGATTTTATTATCTTATTGATATTTGAATTCAACTGTAGCTGTAAACAACTGAAAAACTGTACATCTTAAAGCAGAACCAGGGTTTCGGTGTTGCTGATAACAATTGAAAACAGTTTATAATTCACTGAATTGAATATCTTGGGATTTATCAAGTAGGAATACTTGTGTTATTGAATTTTATGACCACTTTTTATTGAAAGCAAATGTAATACACTTTAAGGCTAAAGAGGAGAAAAGAATCAACTTTTAATAGTTTTAAGACATATAACATATAGTGAGTCCTCATTATAAGTTACCGCATTATAAGTCATTTCCTGTATACGTTCTTGATGAATTAAGGAACATGTTCCATATTGTAATGAGATGCAAAAACAAGTTTTCAAACATTTTAAACTACACATGAATATGACAGGTAGTGTTCATAGTATCAAACAACTGCTATCGCTCTGGCACGTTCCTAGTGCCCATTAGGTGTATGTTTGCTATATATCATTTCACTTAAAGTCAAACTTTTCAGGAATGCATCTTCAACATACAAGGAGGACTTCTTGTGAAATAAAAATTATTTGGATTTATGTGCAAATATTTGAAAGACTCAGGAAAGTTAACTTGTGAATAACTGTATTCTACTAATTTGTTAGTATGTTAATGTAATTGAGAAAAGTATATATATATATGTAAGATGCCAGTCATTAAGTTCTTATAAAAAAATTCAGTGTTGTTCATTGTATTTGATCATGATTCCAAAACAGGTCTATTAGACAGTGGTAAAAAATTTTCTTGTAAAATCGTTAAAACAATTAAACTGATTGCATGTTGTTAAAAAGTGTTTTGGACTTAATTATGCTATATAGTGACAGATCTGTAGCATGTATAAATGGACATTCTATTTTTTTTTGTTTTCAGATAGGTAGTGGTGTTCACCCCAGAGTAGATGAAATTTTAAAGGTTAAATCACTCTTTGTGGATGATCCTTATGGTTTGTGGACATTAAAAGATAGTCACATGGTAAGCTAAGTCCATTCTGTATTTTTGGTATTTACACTAATAAATAGTAATCAGTTACATGATAAGCTACATTGTAAGTCACTCTGAACTTGTGGTATTTAAACTAATAAACAGAAAGCAGTTACATGATAAGCTACATTGTAAGTCACTCTGAACTTGTGGTATTTACACTAATGTATAGAAAACATTTACATGATAAGCAACATCGTAAGTAGGGATGGAACAAAGGTTTGGTTGGATTTTGGATACCTGTCACTTGATATCCAATTGAATTTGGATATTTTTGAATAAGATCGTAGATGTGGCTGTAAGTACTGAACATATGCCACAGATGTGAGCTACAATTCAGTATATTATACTCTACTACTATACGAGTTACTTTGTCATTATTTTTTAAAAATTTAATAAAGATGTACCAGGTATTTACAGTTCCACATGAGTGAGCAGCTGAGGCAGGACTTTTAAGGTAATGAGGCACATGGCAACATGAGACAGTGCTTTATACCCCTTAATCCCCTGCTGAGCCTGTGGTTTGGAGTGTATTTGCCATAGTTGTGATATTTATGTAAGTTACTTAGTGATTATCTGTATTATGACTACCAGGGCTTTCACTATTAAATATCGAGGAATAATACTACTGTATTTAGAAATTACACGAAAGCACCAGTGGGTCAGATACTAGTTATGTGTGATCCACGTGCAACTAGTGTCATTCCTGCATATTATTGTGATATAATCCAGTGATGGAAATGTTATCTAATTATCCAGTTCATCACAAAATTACTGTACAGTAGTATCATATATTTGTTCCATCCTTAACTGTAAGTGACTCTGTATACATGTTATATACACCTAATGAATAGAAAACAATCACGAGGTGAAGTAAGGTATTGTGTATTCACGATCCTTAGTCTGTGATTACCTGAAAAATCAGTAAGTTATTGTGTTAAAGACAAACAAGTGTACTGAAGTGGTTAAATAATTTAATAACTTTTTCAATGCCCTTCTAAATTCTGTAGCACCTCATGTTTACCTCTGTAAAGGTTATTGCCTGGAGCTGAGTATTTGAAACTGTAAGGGAGAATCTCAACCTTTTCCATATTGTTTCAAACACTCCTTCTTTTTAAAACAGAATGCATATTGAAAGGCTTTAAGATTATTTTATTGAACCTGTCAATATCTTCACATTTCATTGCTTTTAAAGAAGGGTTGGCAGCAAGTATGACATACTTTGTCATATTTTAATGAAAAGATGACTGCATTAGGTAGAAATGATAAATTTAGTGTGTTAACAACATTTAGACAGTAGTTATAGAAAAGTAAACAAAAAGATTTATTTTTGTGAGAAGAGAGGTTAAAGATGAACTTACAAAACATTTTAATCAATCTTTATACAGGTAGCAGTAATCTTGCAAATATTTGAGGGAGAAACAGGTATTATTTATTATTTGCAGAAATTAGAATTGTTATTGTAGTTAGTATTGGTAGGATATGATTAATATAATGATTAATCACAACTTTTAAGTTTCTGGTATTTAGAGAAATTTTCTCAGAACTTAAAACCTTATAAAAGTAACAACAGTAAACATTGTTCTTAATGTAACACATTGAATACTTTAATACAGTACTCAGTAAGTCAGTTAAAATGAGCTAATTTCTAGAGTAAGTGATCAGTTGTCACTGTTTTGGCATACACCTTCTCCAAGGTAGAGTGTTTGTTAATGTAACACATTGAATACTTTAATACAGGACTCAGTAAGTCAGTTAAAATGAGCTAATTTCTAGAGTAAGTGATCAGTTGTCACTGTTTTGGCTTACACCTTCTCCAAGGTAGAGTGTTTGTTAATGTAACACATTGAATACTTTAATACAGGACTCAGTAAGTCAGTTAAAATGAGCTAATTTCTAGAGTAAGTGATCGGTTGTCACTGTTTTGGCTTACACCTTCTCCAAGGTAGTGTTTAACAGCTCACTCAGTATAGTCACAACTGATCTTAGTAATTATTTGAAGAGTATAGTTTCAAACATAAGTATTTCATTGTATTAATGTGGTTATTTAGTGTTATCGATTAACATAAAACACAACAAGGATTTAGTGTTATTAACATAAAACACAACAAAGAGAACATTGAAGGAAGTATGAAACATCTGAAGTATTGTCTTGTTGCAGCTTCAACCTGTCCTGTTATGAAATTTGTTAAGCTTTTGGCTAAGAATAGCAGCTGTTCCAACAGTTATTGAAACATTTTGCCTTTGTGTTATCATTTTACATGCTCTGAAATGTACCAAACCAAACAAATCTGATGTTAATTGTATGATTAAATAGTTAAATCTATGACTTCATGTCATTTTGCTTACTTTTTAATGCTGTATTTGTAGTTTTCCCCTCATACATAGAATATATATATATAAAATAAACAGAGAGAGATTAATTGGAATCCTTAGTAGTGCTTATTCCATATTTCCTCTGCATGTAGTGATAGGTTAAGTAAACATATTATATACCACCATTTTCATTAAAATAGTTTCGTGCAATAAATTAAAAGTATTGTGCCATATCTTCTTGTTTCCAGCACAGTTTATGTCGGATGCATGGATTGTCCACGCTTCCTGGAAAGCGACATCGGTTATGGAGCCATGCTGGGTTCGTTAGGGAAATGGATTTGGCTATTATAAGAGATGGACTGAATAACATGAAGTTTGATGAGTTACGGTGGGTAAGTAGTTTTAAAATGTTTTACGTTTTTTTTGTTATGAATATTTTTGAAGAACCAGAAATTGTTGTAGCATTAATTATGAGAATAGGATCATTTATCTACTTAGTGAATTAATTCTGTTTTGGTTCATTCATTAAAAAAAAAGTAACACATTCTTAAATGAAGTAAATAAAATCTACTTAGTGAATTAATTCTGTTTTGGTTCATTCATTAAAAAAAAGTAACACATTCTTAAATGAAGTAAATAAAATCTACTTAGTGAATTAATTCTGTTTTGTCTTTTTGGTTCATTCATTAAAAAAAGTAACACATTCTTAAATGAAGTAAATAAAACATTTACATTGTTCTGCTCTTTATTTTTTGTATGATTTTCTTGTTCATAACAATTAAACAATGGTATTTATTGCTCTAACCAGAGTTTTTTATTTTAGTTGCTTGCTTCCATGTGTACAGTTTTTGCCCAATGTAGCTCGGGTTTCTTTGGTTTTCTCTCGTATGTCTGTGTTTCAGAAAAAGCTTTTTCTCTATAAACCCAGATTAGATGGCAAGAAGCACCACTACTGTGTTGGGAAAGACATATTTGTTTGCATGACACTGATTAGTGTTTGCACTTTACACACAAATATCTCAAGTGCTGAAACTGCATATAAACACTCAAGAAAATTCTGAAATACTTGCCAAATTAAACTAAGTTTACTGACAAACATGAAAACAATGTTGTCATCAGGTTTCCAGTGATATTGCATTATGTGCTTTACATATGCTAAAACATTTAAGGAGACTGGTAATAAGAAATATGTAGAAGAATGTAACGTTGTTATAAAGAAATGATATACAAATATATTAAATACCTATTGAAAAAACTACTTAGGGAAAGTCTTCAGCAGTATTGTAATATCTTATTCTGATGTGTTACCTGGAATTTATAATGCAAAATGTATTAATATAATTAAAAGTTGCAAATCGTTTTTCTTTTTAATGTTATCGAGATTTTTCAACTCTTGTTCAGACTATCAATCAAAAAATGGCTTGTAAGGAAGAAGACGTTGTGTATACAAAGTCAATAATTATAACAAATACATATAGTACATAATTAGTAATGATTTGATCGTACAGAACTGTTGATCTGAAATTCCAGAAAGCAACTTTTGCGTAGCCTCTAGAACATTATTTGCTTTCAATACCTACTCACAGACCATTTTATTCTACATGGATAACACAGGCACTGTGATGATTCATTATCAATTCCGTAAACTTCGGTAATTAATATTGGTTAAGCTTGAGACTTCCTACAGTTTAATAAAGTGGAGAATGTGTTTCAGAATAAGAGAAGCAAGAAAGATGAGAGCAACCAAAAGAGAGCTTATGTTCTCATTTAGACTAAATTAGAAGTATCTTCCCTCCTTACAATATATCACACAGAATCTGTGTGACCATAGTCTTCCGTGTACTGGGCCACATCTATTAATGTGTGTATTATGGATTGCATTCCGTACGACGTGTTATTTGTTACTTATTTGCTATCCTCTCAAATGTAAATAATACACACCCTAAAGCTACTGAAGTCAGTTTCAGAATGTTTATCATTTAAGCAAACTTTATTAAGGATGCCTCACTGTGGCGATATGAAGTTGTTGTTTTTTTCTTACAAAGATTAGTTTAATGTTTAAGTTAATAAGATTGAAACGAATAAAAAGTTTGCAAAAATTGATGTACCAAGAAAGCCTGGAAAGACAGGTTTCATTTCCTGGCTGACAGGGTTGGTGTTCTACTATTAAACTTTTTGAAAATCATTTTCACTTCAATGATCACATTATAAAC